AAAACCAACAAAACCAACAACCACATGATCAAGTGAATTGCAGCGGAATAGCTGCGCTTGATTGTAGTTGGCTTAGCAAAGTTAAATAGTGGAAATAAGCACGAAGAATTAACAAGGCAAACTTAAAGCTCAAACAGTCAACGACGTAACGTAAACGTAGGTTGACGCAGACACGATCTACCTTATGGGATTCGCGTGTTAACGAAAACTCACCACCGCATGGCGGTGACGTTGCCGTTACTTCTCTCTCTCTCTGTCAACAGGAAATTTGATATGCTGCTACGTACGTCAACCTACGTTTACGCTACGTCGTTGACTAACTGCGCTTTTAGCACAGTGCGTAGGCAACTGGCTGAGTCAGTGGTGATCGTCGGTTCGAATCCTACTGAAAGAAGTCTGATGAGGAAATGTGGCGATTTCCAAAATAGCTATCACTTCTACCATTTTTTCAAATTATTGTTGCTTTTCCACAATAAATTTTCACTAAAAACGGCCTTAAGCTCATAAAAATTGTTGAATTTCATTTTTTAAGTTTTGACAATTACTAATTTCCACAATGTCAAAATATGTAGAAATATCTAAAATTAAATTTATTTTAAAATAAATTGATAACTCATTTATCGCAATCGCATAAAAATTGTCGAAGTTAGGCAACTCTTCAAAAAAAATTTCTATGGGCACCCTAATGTACATACATATCCAAATACGCACATCGGCAGATTTGCATTTTGATATGTGCATATGAAGATATTTACAAAAATAAAATAGTACATACTTGTAAAAACAATTTCGATGCGATTCGGTTCTGGCACTGCAATATTCCAACGACACTCAGAGAAATTCCGATGTTCATAAGAGGGGCTCGAAATAGAACCCTCAACTGTAAATATCTCACCACCGCAACCCGGTTCTAAAGTCTTTCGACTGGCAAAGTAAAACATTTGGAAACTTTCCAAAAGACTGACGTATAATCTAACTCCGCTTGTGTTTGTGTGAAGACGATCTTCGTGGAAATATGAAATGCATTGCGTCCTCAGATTTGTGTTAGTTACAGTATCGTTTATCTAGCAAAGTCAATAGCTTATTAATACAAATGTACGGAAAAGATAACGCATTCGAAAAAATCTATACCTGGAGATTTGGGTGCGAGCAATTCCACCGCATATAGTTTGATGTGGTCAAGAGAATATGTAAGTTGATTGAGTATTCATCAGGTATTTGTATAACTTCATAGCACGTTGGACTCGAATTTCTAGTCGGTTTAAATTCTATAAACTCACTAAGCTTCGTATAAGTGCGATTACAAGCTGAAACATTTTTACTTTGTTTATTTAATTTTAAAACATTTGAAAAACTTCATACGTTGTTGACTCGAAAGGGTTATGTTAAAACCTTTTGCCTGGACGGAATCATCGCTGTGAAAAGTTAAATCTGTATAAGCATTCTGATGACTTTGAAATATACTCAAGGACTTGGTAAATCCTGTGACGTTTCCGCAATAGCTTTCAGTCACCTGTGAGCAAATACATCAATTAACACGGAAGTATAAGTGTATGTATGTACATTAGGGCGGCNTTAATTTTAAAACATTTGAAAAACTTCATACGTTGTTGACTCGAAAGGGTTATGTTAAAACCTTTTGCCTGGACGGAATCATCGCTGTGAAAAGTTAAATCTGTATAAGCATACTGATGACTTTTAAATATACTCATGGACTTGGTAAATCCTGTGACGTTTCCGCAATAGCTTTCAGTCACCTGTGAGCAAATACATCAATTAACACGGAAGTATAAGTGTATGTATGTACATTAGGGCGGCCCAAAAATTCATGTGAAAAAGTAAAGTCGGAATTTTTATGCTCTCACCCCCTAGGATTGTTCTATACTAGAGGTGGGCACGACCACAAACAAGCCTGAGCAAAAAGTGAGAATGTGTTAGTGTGTCCAATTCATTTTCGAGCTTTCGCGTTCTCATCGTTACGCTCTCGCTTGTATACGTACACTCAATGCTTACGCTCTTTTAGCACCTACTAAGTCTCTGCCCATGCCTGTTCTATACCGAAAAAAATATACCCTTATTTTTTATTTTGCAATCAAAAAATATTTAGAGGTCGCTCAAAGCGCCCAAAGTCTTCCATGTATTTTATGTGGAAAAAAAACAACATTTCGTAGAAATGGTATAGAATAGTTAAAAATCAATATTTTCTACTCTGTTTATGTGCAGGAGACTCCCAATAATAATACCCACTTTTTTATTTAACCATTTTTTCATTGCAACTATAATTTATAGGGCCGCCAAAAACCCTCAAAAACTCCAAAAAATGCAANTCTGTTTATGTGCAGGAGACTCCCAATAATAATACCCACTTTTTTATTTAACCATTTTTTCATTGCAACTATAATTTATAGGGCCGCCAAAAACCCTCAAAAACTTCAAAAAATGCAATGGGGCGACCAATAAAAAAATCGTTAGTATTAAAAAATGGTTAAATAAACAATTGCGTATTATTATTGAAAGTCTCCTGAAGACAACCAGAATTTTCCGATCGAAAAATATTGACTTTCAAGAATTCTATAGCATTTCTACGAAAAAATTTATTTATCCCATGTAAAAATACATGGAAAACTTTGAGCGCTTTGAGCGACCTCTAAATATTTTTTGATTTCAAAATAAAAAAACAAGGGTATCCTTTTTTTCGATATAGAACAATCCTAGGGGGTGAGAGCATTGNCTAAATATTTTTTGATTTCAAAATAAAAAAACAAGGGTATCCTTTTTTCGATATAGAACAATCCTAGGGGTGAGAGCATTTCTTCCGACTTTGCTGTTTTTGAACCCCCCTAATGTACATACATATGTTGGAATACGAATTTCTTACCGTATCCTGATTTATCCGTAGAAAATCAAGGCATTTACCAGTCTCGACCGATGGATTTTGCAGGAGCATGTTTTCAAAGTGGATTTGAAAATTGGTTTCTGATTTGATTCGCCATTTGCAATGAACATTCGGTGGATATTCTGGCCCATCAGGTGGAAAGTTTATTGTTAGAACCTACATATATACATATGTGAAAAATATTACGCTTGCAATAAAAATACTCCTAAATGTATTAACTTTGAAAAGAAGTCGCACTGAATCTAACCTTTTCTGGAAGAAGTTCTAGCTCATTTCGTCCACCACAAACAGATTTTTTGATTTCGAGAACGATTTCAAGTGTGTAGTTCCCCTGCTTTAGAAAACTTAGTTGTAATAACGCATGCTCATTGGAAGTTATCAACTTTCTATTCCCATCGTTATCTTTGCAAAATTTCCCCACGGACAAGGACGTATCACCTTTTTCCGCAGGTTCTATAACCTCCAAGTAATTACACTGCACACATGATTCATCCAGACATTGGGTTGGATTAATATTCAGCTTTCTTATTTGAACTGTGACCCTAAAACTCTCCGGAGCTGTTACATGAATTTGACAATGAAGTTCTTCAGCTGGGTTCACTGTGTAATTTCTAACCATTACAAGTGTTTGTGCAATTGAGTCTTCGTTGGTCAATCCAATGCGTTCATTACAGTTGCGCACGAAGACGACGTCAGCTTGGAAGCCCTTTTTCGCGTAACTAGTATCGGACACAGCCGTAATAAAGGCATGGTTATCATCGACTAAAACCAGCGGCGGATCTGCACTTAAATTACCACAAAGCTTAACGAGTTCGTTTTCGTTCCTTGGTGAAGATCCTGAGTAAATGGCTACGAAATCATAAAAGCACTTATCATGTTTTTCCATGTCGAAATATATAAATCGCACTAATATAGAATGGTCCGGTGGTGCCACGATATTCCACACGCAGTTCATGTTGTCAGCATATACAAAATCATTGCCACTATTGCCGTTTGTAGCCGATAAAGAACGAATAGTTGTGGATTGGGTGATGTTTCCGCCACATGAATTCAATTGGTACGCGATTTGGAAACCTTCGTAAGCTCTGTTAAATACTAAACGCAAATACCTATTCTCAATTAATTCTGCTCCTTCGCAGTATTCGCCAGCTCTGATTTCGTTTCCGTCTTCTCCCTTCTTGTATGCTGTGAAACTCAACATACACAATCTATTCCTGTAGATAGGCCTAAAACCATCTCTATATACACTATTCCTCACTTGTAAACTTATCGCACTATCTGAGTTCGATACAAAGGTATATATGCAGCCAAACCTAGAGTATTGTGTGATGTCTATGTCAGGAGATCGTATTAATTGCAGGTGGTTGGTAACATTGAAAGTGGCGGTACAGGACGATGATACTCGGAACGTGAATCCATCTCCCGTCGTCTCGTTGTCTGTGCGGAACACAATTAATATACGCTGTGATGTGGCGTTGTACGTACTAGGAACATCTCGACCACAAAAGCGTTCCTTTGGTTGCCAAACTGCACCTTCATAAGAATATATTTCAAGATAGTCCTTTGAACAATTTGCGGATTTCTCTATAAAGAATCTTCCCAGGAACTCCACAGACATATAAAATCCTGAGCTTGCTTCAAATTCCCAACTGCATTCCATATTACTTTTGTATATCTTAGAATCCATTATTACCGCTGGAGAGTTAATAAAAACCGTCTTTTTAGTTCCACAAGCAATGGAAGCTTCTGCCGTTATTTTGAATGACGAGCTTGGCCTTATTTCGCTGGAGTGATATAAAATTGTAGTTAAATGCTTTTTTATATCGATTCCCGAATTAAGCTCAGTTGAATTGTTGCAAATTTTTGAGATAAGTGGAAGTTCCGGAGTCATACCAGAATGAATGGCGATAAATTCCTTGCTACAGTCCTCATTCAGGCTAATATTACCAAAGAGCTTATAAGGTTGACTTTCGGAAGCTCCTCTAATCGTCCAAGCACATTCGATATGACTTTCATCCCCGCCATGAACAAAATTTTTGGGAGGAAATACTATTTCGAAAGCTTCTATTAAGTAAAAACTTCCTCCGCACGAATGGCGATGGAACTCTGCCGAAAAGCGTTTAATTTTAACATTATCATTTTGTAGCATTGTAAGCATGCCACCCTTGGAAGATAAGGATACCGTTGTACCAATTGCATTCATAAATACCGTCTTATACGGCATTAGTAAACTTTCATCACTGAAACGAATGGCATATGGGTTATTAAATGTATTATTTCGGTAAACCACAAGCTCTTTGATCTCAAAGGTTATTGTTTCAAATCCACTCAATATGAATCTAGTTGTGCAAAAGAAGTTGACGTTTGTAGACAATCGGTTTGTGTCGACAGATCCAGACGCCTGTTCGTTGATATCGGGTGGACAGGGAGATTCATCGCTGGAGCTGTATCGTGCTTGTAGTGTCCGTATTGAAGACATGCGGCGATTAAGATCTATACGCACATACATGTAGTTGTCCGAGGAGAAAATTCTCTCAGAAAAGTTGAAATTATCAATATCCACTTCGGTAATTTTTGAAAGCATATCAGGATCATTGTAAAATGAAATTTTTGTTGTCAAAGTACTTCTGTATGGAAGTGTTCGTTGTAGAAATCTACGAGAAATGTAAATAACGACCACATTATTCTTAATATGAGTACAAGTAATTTTTCATGTTAGAAATAGTTCTTATTGACTTTATTTATACAAACATATTTTATTTTAAATTAATGGTGAAATTATAAACAGGTAAAATAATAAAACACCGTTCTCGCTTTATTTTCTTAATATACAGCAATCTTATAATGATTTCTTAAGCAAATTTTTAAACAAGATAGTGTCAAATCTTTCTTCTCGCTCTTATTACTTCAACCGATATAATTTCACCATGTTTTAAACTAAAAACGGCGCGTGCAACACCATACACGTGATAGAAATTAAACTTCTTTAAAAACGTGTGAGTACCAGGTACTCTCGAAAAAGTATTCGGCGATTCAGTTACATAGTACATAGGCATGATTCAATAATGAAAGGTTTTGTAGGTAGCTTTTTTCTAAAATTTGACACTCCCACCCACAGGGATGGTTTTTGGAAGCAGGAGAAAAAGGGGAAGAATTCAATCACACATTCTAAAATGGTAGCTAAATTCCACAAAAAGGTGGGTATTTAAAAACAAAAACGAATTTCATTAAATTATTTAATATAAACAACATGGTCCACTTTGAACAATTTTGTTTGTGTGTTTGTTTGCCTTGTAAATTCTTTGCGGTACCATTTACAGTTGATGAATATAAGTAGCTTTTTGTTTGTGGAAAAAACCGACAAATAAAAACATTTGGAGCTTAAGTTTCTTTCGAGGTTTTGGCTCGATTGCTTCGAATATGGTAATTAGAATTCTTTGACGTTGCACTTTTAGTGTTCTGGGGAGATTATACCGCCGTAAGAATATAAAATATTGGCTTATACAGTCGCGATTGGCGATTCGTGCTGGTCGAACTCAGGAAGAATAAAGAGGACACGCAGCTACTAAACTACTGAGACAGGGAACGTGATCTATATCGTCAAATGAGAAGTGCGTAAGTGCGAAATTACAACGCACCATTGACTAATCCGAGCTGTCGTGTGTTACGATTGATCCCATGCATGCGTTTCGCCACCATTATATTGCGTCAAAGTCTCATTCGGGGACATCAGGATTGACTCATTTACCAGAACCATTGCGCGCTTTACTTTACAGCGACTTGACAGAATCAATAGGTATCCACGAATGTCAACAAATACAACAGTTCGGCATTAAATGGAATTTCGTCTCCTTAGCCCACATTGAATTTCTGTAGGCCAACAATTCTCACCCATTTTGTCTTGTTGTCGCCAGCGAATGCACAACAAACATTTCTTCACAAAAAAACTGTGCTCTTTTTTCACAAAAAAACTTTAGCAAATCGTAGCAAATTTCTTAAGAACTGCGTACTGCCTCAAGAAAATTTAACACAAGTAAATATTTAGCCATTTTTTGTACGTCATTTTGTACAGGCCTTTTGCTTTTCTTGAGAGCTGCATACTGGCCTTAAAAGATATAAATTTCTCTACTAAAAATTTAAAAATGTTCCTAAAACTTACAAAGAAATTTGGAAAAGAAATATCACCGTTTTTGTTTAAAGGAGTATGGTGGGAGTGTCATTGATAAAATTATAGTGAGACAAAGTTTTTCTTACAAAACCTTTCATTATTGAATCGTGGTACATATGTAGGTAGGTTTGGTTAGAAATTAAACATTAGTGGAATTCGCTCTTCTGTGTGTTCGTTGTATCTTATATAATTGTAACTGAATGAGCTGTGTGATTTGTTTTTGCTATCGGTACAATAAATATACATGCACCAACAATCATACGCTCGTCCACTTACACAAAATACAACGAATACACAGAAGCGCGAATTCCACTATTAATTTCATTTCATTTTATTCGTTTTGCTGATTTATAATTAATTTATTAATTTTCAACTTCAATTGAAAATCCGGTAACACCACCTTATATGATTTCGGGCCGATAGCATCCTTAGGACCCNTTGACTAATCCGAGCTGTCGTGTGTTACGATTGATCCCATGCATGCGTTTTGCCAACATTATATTGCGTCAAAGTCTCATTCGGGGACATCAGGATTGTGTTGTGTAGGTCAATACCTAAATATGTACCTTCATTGACTCATTTACCAGAACCATTGCGCGCTTTACTTTACAGCGACTTGACAGAATCAATAGGTATCCACGAATGTCAACAAATACAACAGTT